AGATGGCTAACAAACACATGAAAAGATGCTCAACATCACTCATTATCAGAGAAATGCAAATCAAAACCGCAATGAGCTACCATTACACGCTGGTCAGAATGGCTGCTATCCAAAAGTCTACAAGCAATAAGTACTGGAGAGGTGTGCAGAAAAGGGAACACTCTTACACTGTTGGTGGGAATGCAAATTAGTACAGCCACTATGGAAAACAGTGTGGAGATTTCTTAAAAAGCTGGAAATAGAACTGCCATATGACCCAGCAATCCCACTTCTGGGCATACACACCGAGGAAACCAGAACTGAAAGAGACACGTGCACCCCAAAGTTCATCGCAGCACTGTTTATAATAGCCAGAACATGGAAGCAACCTAGATGCCCATCAGCAGACCAATGGATGAGGAAGCTGTGGTACATATACACCATGGAATATTACTCAGCCATTAAAAAGAATTCATTTGAATCAGTTCTAATGAGATGGATGAAACTGGAGCCCATTATACAGAGTGAAGTAAGCCAGAAAGATAAAGACCATTACAGTATACTAACGCATATATATGGAATTTAGAAAGATGGTAACAATAACCCTATATGCAAAACAGAAAAAGAGACTCCGATTAAAAAAAAAAGAAATGAGTTTTCTGCATGGTCAAGACTGACTCAGTTTAAAATCAATTTAATTAAGTAAATAAATTTAAAAGTAAGTTTCTGTAAAACTTGAATTTGACTTTTCTCTTGGCTAAGAGGACAAGCTTTCTTCAGATATTGAACTGCCTTTGATAAAAGATTTTTAACTTTCTTTACCTCATAAATGATCTGTTCTGTTCTTGCCTTTGAAATCTTTTACTGTTACTTTGGCTGAGTGAAAAACTATTGTTTCATAGTGACCTATGATCCTATCTGAGTATTTTAAGCCCTTTTGATATTTATTGAGAAAGCTTCTTAATTAAAATTCTAATGAAACAAACAAAAAAAAAAGAACTGCCATATGACCCAGCAATCCCACTGCTGGGCATACTCACCGAGGAAACCAGAACTGAAAGAGGCATGTGCACCCCAATGTTCATCACAGCACTGTTTATAGTAGCCATGACATGGAAGCAACCTAGATGCCCATCAGCAGATGTATGGATAAGGAAGCTATGGTACATATACACAATGGAATATTACTCAGCCATTAAAAAGAATTCATTTGAATCAGTTCTAATGAGATGGGTAAAACTGGAGTCCATTATACAGAGTGAAGGAAGCCAGAAAGATAAACACCAATACAGTATATTAACGCATATATATGGAATTTAGAAGGATGGTAATGACAGCCCTATATACAAGACAGAAAAAGAGACACAGATGTATCGAACAGACGTTTGGACTCTATGGGAGAAGGCGAGGATGTGATGATCTGAGAGTACAGCATCAAAACATGTATATTATCAAGTGTGAAACTGATTGCCAGTCCAGGCTGGATGCATGAGAGAAATGCTCGGGGCTAGTGCACTGGGGTGACCCAGAGGGATCGGATGGGGAGTGAGGTGGGAAGGGGGTTCAGGATGGGGAACACATGTAAATCCATGGTTGACTCATGTCAATGTATGGCAAAAACCACTACAATATTGTAAAGTAATTAGTTTCAACTAAAATATAATTGGGAAAAAATTTAAAAAAAGAAAGCTGTGGTACACATACACAATGGAATATTACTCAGCCATTATAAAGAACACATTTGAATCAGTTCTAATGAGATGGATGAAACTGGAGTCCATTATACAGAGTGAAGTAAGCCAGAAAGATAAACACCAATACAGTATGCTAATGCATATATGTGGAATTTAGAAAGATGGTAATGATAACCCTATTTGCAAGACAGAAAAAGAGACACAGATGCATAGAACAGACTTTTGGACTTTATGGGAGAAAGCGAGGGTGGGATAATCTGAGAGAACAGCATCGAAACAGGTATATTATCAATGTGAAACAGATCACCAGTCTAGGTTGGATGCATGAGACAAGTGCTCGGGGCTGTTGCACTGGGAAGACCCAGAGGGATGGGACGGGGAGGGAGGTGGGAGAGGGGGTCAGAATGGGGAACACGTAAATCCATGGCTGATTCATGTCAATGTATGGCAAAATCCACTACAATATGTCAAGTAATTAGCCTCCAATTAATAAAAATAAATGAAAAAAAAAAAAGAAAAAAGACCCATGCACCTCTATGTTCATAGCAGCACAATGTACAATAGCCAAGACATGGGAACAGCCTAGATGTCCATCGACAGATGAATGGATAAAGAGGATGTTGTATATGTCTATACACACACACAATGGAATACTACTCAGACATTTAAAAAATGAAATCATGAGATTTGCAGCAGCATGGATGGACCTGGAGATTGACATAGTAAGTGAAGTAAGACACAAAGACAACTTTCATATGATATCATTCATATGTGGAATCTAAAAAGACCATATCAATGCAACAGGAACAGACTCACAGACATAGAGAACAGGCTTGTGGTTGCCAAGGAGGGAAGGATTGAGAGCTTGGGATTAGCAGATGAAATCTATTTATACATAAAATGGATAAACAATGAGGTCCTACAGGATGACACAGAGGATTCTATTCAGCATCTTGCTGTAAATCATAATGGAAAAGGATACATTTGTTAAGGTGAATCAATCTGCTGCACAGAAGATATGAGCTACACTTCAATAATTTTTTTAATTTAAAAAAATTTTCAATTTATGTATCTGCAATGAAAGAGTATTTGGCAGTAAAAATGCACAAACTGAAACAACAAAGAGTACAGATCAATTTTGAAGCATGATATTAAGTAAATAAAAGGAAATTTAAGGACCCTGACTGTACTCTTACTCCATTACATCCATAATAATCAAGAGGAGACGAGATTTATTACCTAGGGAGCATAACTAATCTAAGCATCCCCACTCCTAGCAAATTGGTACAGAATCACAGCCCTTACTGAGGTTCTATCATGTCCATGAACAAATGCTGACCTGGGTGTGTGTCTGCCCTTGGAATCCAGAAACACATGGATAATTTTTCCTGGTTTGGAACTGATTGTTGAGGACACGTCCCTCACTCAAGCATTCTGGAGCTTGGAAGTCTCTACTTTACACATTTTTATGTAGAAAGCAAGGTTGTCCACCTTTTCTGGCAAAACAATTCCACCGCCCCCCCCCAAAAAAAAAAAACCACAATCATCTTGCACACATTTTTTTTGTGTACACGTGTGGTCCTTTGATTGGCAAGAAAGAAAGAGAGAGAGACAGAGAGAGTGTGTGTGTACAAAGTTTCCACTCATAGTCAGGAAATAATTTCAGGTAAAAAGAATAGTCAGGGGAAGACAAATATCACATGATATCGCTCATTGGTGACATCTAAGAAAAATGAACTTATTTACAAGGGAGATTCACAGAGAATGAACCTGTGGTTACCAGGTGGGATGGTGCACGCGGGGAGGGATAGATTGGCATTTTGGCTTTGATATATACACACGGCTATACTTAAAATGGATGACCAACAAGGACCTACTGGATAGCACAGGGAACTCTCCTTAATATTCCGTGACTAGCTAAGTGGGAAAAGAATTTGAAAAGCAATAGACGCATGTCTGTGTATAACCGAATCATCTTGTTATATGCCTGACACTAACAGTTAGTTTCTTAATGACCTATACTCCACCTCAGAATTTTTACAAAATGTTCAAAGAGCCATAATATGCATCTCTCCTTCTCTTATGAGAATGCAGAATCAAAAAGTCTCCATTAATGAGTCCTTAATTGGCAACATGCACTGAGCCTGAAATATGAAGTGGGCACCTGTGATTTCTCTTCTGCAAAGAGTTAAGGTTAATGACATTTATCATGAGATTGGGGAAACTATCCTGCATGATAAAACTGGATTTCTTCAGAAGGGCTATCTTTCTTATGAAGATCATCTTTTAAAGCATTTTTATTTTATCAGGGTAACATACCATCTCTTATGTAAAAGCATGAGGGGATTGCTGGAATTCTTGGACATTCTGGTTGAGTATATATATTAATTATAGTTGGTTTCTCTGCACTGAACCCCATGGTTTGTTTTATAGAGAATGAGTAACAAACTCTAACCAGGAAAATGAATTCCAGGTTACATGATGGAAAAAAAATTCTTTTAAATTCAGGAGCAGAGAGGCCTTAGAAATCTTTGCTGGAAATAAGTCAGTGTGGCTTTTTTTCCCCCCCTATGGTTACCATTAGACAGTAAGCAGTTAGTAACCCTGCATATATATATATTTTTTTTTTGGTAGGGGGGCTGGACTTCATGGCTCCGAGGATCTCATCTTAGTTCCCCAACCAGTGATTGAACCTGGGCGTTCAGCAGTGAAATCAGGGAGTAGCCACTTGACCACCAGGGAATTCCCAGACCTGCACAACTGAAGTAGAACTCGTCATCAAGAGAAGGAAAGGAACTGAGTCAGTCTTTCTTCAAACAAGATATTCATAGAAACTAAGCCTCTCAGGTGTTAAAGAATCTGCCTGCAACGCAGGAGACCCGCGTTTGATTCGGGGGTTGGGAAAATCCCCTGGAGAAGGAAATGGCAACCCTCGCCAGTAGTCTTGTGTGGGAAATCCCTTGGACAGAAAACACAGTGGGATACAATCCATGGGGTCACAAGAGTTGGACACCACTTTGCAACTAAACCACCACCACCAACATGGTATACACTGAATCACCGTTACTACTTCATGAGGCAGCGAGACCTGTTCAAATCCTCCTACATTTATAGTGTTCAGGGAAACAAAAAGTGATGCTTGGGTCACGAGGCCTGCTCAGTGACAAGGCTCAGGTCAGACCTCCATCCCTGGTGGGAGAGGAGGCTGCCCATCTTACCCTGTGACATGCACCAGGCTGACTGTATGAACAACACCGCCCACCTTCCGCATCCTGTGACTCAGTCAGCTTTGCTCAGTCCTGCCTCCTGCCTCACAGAAGCAGAGCCATGTGCCCCACACTCCTCAGCCTCCTGAGTCTAGGTGAGTCTGGAAAGACCCGGCAGGAGAGGTTTATGGTGGAAATCGGGGGTATTCACACCATGACAAGCTTCCCTGGATGAGGGTGCAAGGAGCGTGGGGTCCATCGGGACAAGCCATCTCAGACGGGCCTTTCCTTCTAGGATTCTGCGTGAGTCCGAGGATCTGGGCAGCTGTGGGTGAGTCCTCCCCATCGCTTATTTCTGTGTTCAGCAGAGCAGGCGGGGCTGAGGCAGATGACACTGGGGGGCAGGGTGAGACCCGTGACATTACAGTGAGAGCCACGTGACCTGTGGATCCCAGGTCTTCTTTTGGCCTTGATACTCATCTTCACTCTCCCCAGAGGTTAGCCCAGCTCTGCACTCTGGACCTGAAGGGACAGCGTGAAGTCTGGGAGGTGGGAGCTGGGCCCCCTGAGTGCCATTTCTATCATGAGAGGGAGCAAGGAGCTGCAGCCAACAAACCCCTCTCAGAGAAGGTGGCATCTCCTACCGGCCCTTTACAACAGGATATGCAGGACCACCCGCTAGACCTGACCCCAGGGGAGGGGCTGGGCATCAGGCAGGGCCACCTGGACCTGGTCCCACATTTGATGGAGGATAGCTAACAAAGGAGCGATGTTCATGGTTTCCTTCCTGCTTTTCAGTCAAGTGGCTTTTTCTCTTCTTAATTGTGTTACTCTAAGTCGCTCAGTCGTGTCTGACTCTTTCTGACCCCATGGACTGTAGCTCAGCAGGCTCCTCTGTCCATGGGGTTCTCCAGGCAAGAATACTGGAGGAGGTTACCATTACCTTGTCCAGGAGATTTTGCCAACTCAGGGATTGAAGCCTTCTCTCCTGCATAACAGGAATATTCTGTATCATTTGAGCTACAACAAATCCAACACGGAAGCCCTTTCACTTCTTTTCCATGTATCAATTTTTCCGTGGTGGTTTCTTTTGCCTGCATCATGCAGCTTGCAGGATCTTAGTTCCCTGATCAGAGATCAGCCCGGGCCCTTGGTAGAGAAAGTGCTGAGTCCTTACCACTGGACCGCCAGGGAATCCCCAGTGTTTTGTGTTTTGAGAGAAAGTTTTTCAACGTTTTGCCAACCCAAGGAATGATTCTTCTGAATCATTTCTGAGAATCATATTCTTAGAATCTCCATGATGTCCTCTTGGGTTGATTGTGTCTCTGTCTGCACCCAAATGCAAGATGTCCTTGAGCATCAAGGTGATGCACTTTAGGAGAGGAGACTTGCAAGAATTGAAGGGGAAGGGCCCATGGGGGCAGGGTGGAAAGGAGACTGTTCCTATTTGCCTCTCAAAGCCTGTGCCTCCATCTCACCTAGGTGAATATGAGAAGCCCTCTTTGTCAGCCTTGCCAAGCCCCGTGGTTCCCTTAGGACAGACTGTGACTCTTCGGTGTCACTCCCGTTCTCCACTTGCCATATTCAGTCTGTTCAAAAGAGATGGGACCAGTTTGACCAAGCTCCAGGAACATCAACTCAACACCTTCACTCTTGGCCCAGTGACCAGAGAACATGCCGGGTCCTACACATGTTCTGCATTATACTGGTCTCCCTCTGTGTGGTCCACACACAGTGACCCCCTGAAGATTGTGGTCACAGGTAGGAGGGGTCCATCCCAACCTGGCATGGCCGAGCTTGCAGGCATTCGTATCCTAGGTCCACGTGCCAGTGCAGCCAAAGACGTCCTCAGGATTCCCAGCCAAAACCTAACCAGGGAAAGAGAACCCACTCTGAGAGTTTAAACTCAGGGTGTTGATAGAGTGATGGGGTGCCTGGCTCAGGAAGGAGGAGCCTCCCTGGGCATTAGTCGGACAGAATGTGGGCACTGCCTGCCAGGAGGGAGGATGGGCACAACCCTGATCCAGCACCTGCCACCCAGTAGGGAGCTGTAATCCCATATGAAGGAGTTGGGGTCCAGGGAGGAGACCCAGGAACATCTCCAGAGGCATGAGGTGGGGTCACAGATGGGAAATGTTCCCTTTATTCTCCACTTCCTTCCTGTTGATGCCAGTCATCACCCACATTATAGGAGACGTGTGTGAAGGGAGCCAGGGTATGAATGCTCAGAACCACCCCAGCCCTCAAATGCAAATTAGGGATGGGATGAAGCTGAGAGCATGGCAACCCACTCCAGTATTCTTGCCTGAAGAATCCCATGGAGAAAGGAGTCTGGCAGGCTACATTCCATGGGGTCCCACAGAGTCAGACACGAGTGAAGTGACTGAGCATGCATGCATGAACTGAGAGCAGATCCAATAGCTAAAGAGCTTAGAATAAACAGAGAGGAGGCTGGAGGTCTTGAGCAAAGAGAAACTGAAAAGCATGAGCAAGATCTGAGAACAAGGCTAGAGAGAATACCACAGAACACACAGGAAGGGTAATTGACTTTGCTGGTTCACAGGGACATTTTTCACATCTTCAGATGTCAGGGGAAGCACCGAGAATGGGTGATTCACTGAAGCTCACAACCTCTTTGCTCCTAGGTGTGTTCACAAAACCCTCCATCTCAGCCCACCCAGGCCCCATAGTACGGGCGGGAGGGAATGTGACCATCCGCTGTCACTCACCGCTGCTGCTGGACAAATTTATGCTGCACAAAATAGGCAACGACGGGCATTTCCAGGGACGTGGAGAGACGTTCACGGGCAGACATGCCCCAGCTGACTTCTCCATTGGCCCCATGACGTTGGCGAGTGCGGGTTCCTACCAATGCTATGGCTCTCTCAGCCGCTCCCCCTATGAGTGGTCAGCCCCAAGTGACCCCGTGGACATCGTCATCGCAGGTGAGTGTGTCCAGACCAGTCCCCTCTGCTGTCTGTGTCACAGAAGGTCTGGTGTCCAGTCCAGCATCAGTACCGGGAGAAAATGACAGGCGTGCAGAGACGCTCAGAAACTCGGGAGAGGGAACAAACCAGAGAAAGAGGAGGTGTGAACACAGAAGGGAAAGAGAACAGAGTACCTGCTATGCAGTAAAGAGAAGACACAGCCGGTGATAGAGTGAAGCAGCAAGAATGTGAAAGAACGAGCAATGGAGAAAGATACACCAGAGCAGGGACCTGGGCAGTTCCCAGCTCAGGCAGCCAGCGCTGGTTGCTTAAGGGGCTGGTTTCCCGCCTTCATGTCAGAGCTCCCTTCCTCTGTCAGGAGCACTGTGGTACCAGATGCCCTTGCAGTCTGGCCCCTGGGTGGTCAGGACGGAGGTCAAAACCTTGAAGTGGCTCAGCCTTGTGGTTTAACACGTCCTTCTGCACAAAGGGGGGGCAGTGGTCCCTGCAAACCGTCCCCACTAAGGAGTCCCTTCCAGCCCCTGGGGGTGGGCAGGGCAGCGCTGAACACTCCCTCAAGTTTGAGGTCGTCAAAGATCCAATGAGATTCTGCCAATCTCCTGGCCATAATGTCTTTTTCTGGGTCAATACCATGATTTCTGATGGTCCCAGCAGAACCTAGTAGGTTCCATTTTTCAAGAGAACCCCACATCTCATCGATTTTTAAAGTATATTTTTTCTTATTCATTTTTATTGAAGTCTGGTTGGTTTACGATGTTCCTAACTCCTGTTGTACATAACCGTGATACAGTTGTTCATTTACCTATATTTCTTTTTTAAGAAAAGGATATTAAGTGACACTCCAATATTAAAGTTACGTTTGAATTTTTCCCTGTGCTGGGTATTCCTGGCTGTGGGGCTTTCTCTCCTGGCAGTGGGCGTCCTTCTCATTGTAATGCTCCTCTTGTTGCACACTTTGGGCTTTAGTCCCCTATTTAGGTCTAGAGTTACTTTATGCTCTAAGATCAAGGTCTCTTCCTTCCAGGTTGGTCCAAGAAACCCTCTCTCTCAGCCCAGGGGGGCCCCATGGAGAGCTCAGGAGAGAACGTGACCTTGCTCTGCAGCTCCAAGCACCCCTTTCACCAGTTCCATCTGATCAGGGAGGGAGAGAACCTTGGGCGCCTGCTCGCTGGAGGGCGGGGCCCCCACGGAGCACTCCAGGCTGAGTTCCCTCTGGGTCCTGGGACCCCAGCCCACAGCGGGGTCTACAGGTGCTACGGCTCCTTCAATCACTCTCCCTACGCGTGGTCAGACGCCAGCGACCCCCTGCTCCTGTCTGTCACAGGTGAGGGCCCTCCTCCTGGCCCAGCTTTCTTGTTGCTCTTCAGTCGCTAAGTTGTGTCCAACTCTTTGCAACCCCGTGGGCTGCAGCATGACAGACTCCTCTGCCCTTCACTATCACCCCTTCATGGCTCACAGCCTTGTCCTGGTAAACGGGCTTGTGTAACGCAGTGAAGCTATGAGCCATGTCGTGCAGGGCCGCCAAAGACAGATGGGTCATAGTGAAGAGTTTTGGCTAAACGTGGTCCCCTAGGAGGAAATGGCAACCCCCTGCAGAATTCTTGTTTCCAGAACCCCAAGAAGTGTCCCGTGCTTTACCATGCACTAAGTCAATTGTGTTGGCCAAAAAGTCCATTTGGCTTTTCCCGTCACATCTTACTCTATCACTGAACTCTAGTTCAAGGGCTCCATGCTGGTGTCAGGGGACCTTAGGGCTTCTGGGAGAAATGGAGGCAATGAGAACCAGAGAGGAAGAGAGATGGTCGATGGCATCTCAACCCTGTTCCACCTCCTGTATGGATGGTTCTCATCAGAGTCCTGTCTATCCAGGCAAATAAAGAAAAGGGTCAGGATAGATCCAGGAGAAGGAGAGGCTGGGCTGATTTGGAAAGATCAGAGATTGCATTAGCCCCTTGCTCTTAATGTTTTCTGAGAGGCACCACTGACATACAGGTGATTTCCCAATTCAGGAGCATAGATACTCATTCCTGGAACAGAGAGAATGTCTCTTGCTTACAGATGTCTTTCCTCTCCAGTCATACCCTTCCTGCCTGGTTCCACCATCTCTTTGCTAGGATTGAGGGTCTACTCAACGCATTCATGGGGATGGACCAGAAGCTCTATCCCCCCCCCCCATCAGTGTTCAGGGGGATGACAGAGTCAAGGGCAGGCAGGAGGTCAACCTTCCAGAAAGAACAGTCCTCCTTTGTTGGGGTGAGGAAGGTTACTAGCTCACCCCTTCTGTCTTTTTTCTCCTAGGTTCCACTACAAGTACTTGCACATCACCCATGGATCCAGGCAGCACAGAAGGTAAGCAAGAAGGTCTCCTATCTCAGCAAATTTCTGAGAAGACATAGGGGTCCAATCTGAGTGTTGGCTCTTTCAGCTCCCAGGTCTGTGAATTTGTGCTTCTCAGCATTGTTCTCATGTAAGCATTTGAGACTGTGGTCTGCATGAGAACCAGAGGGGGCATTGAGATCCTGGGACTGGGAATTTCTAAATTGAAGAAAGTGGGTCAGAGTACCCTGATCCCATGCCTAAGGGACATGCTTACCCTCCCTCCACCATGATCTTTGGGGATGGATTGGGGCAGCAAGTGGAGAATTTGAGGGAGCACCTTAAATATGTTATTCTTCTGTTAGTGTTTTATGAACTAAGCATCCACAGTTCAGAAATGAAAGTGTCAATTCTTCTTGAGGATTCCATTCCAGGTATATGTGGATGAGGGGGAAATGTACTGTGGAGTAAAGGGGTCTCCATTCATGGAAAAGTACCATGCCTTGACGTAGGGGAAAGGAATAACTGCATTGGTGCCCAGTGGACCTTGGTTCAGACCTCAGCTGGTCTTGCAGGGCCACTTTACTTCATTCACTGCTAGCATCTCTCCTGGATGCTTTGATACCTCCTGGTAGGTGGAGACCATAAGTGATCAGGTTGACAGATGCTGACAGTTTGATGCAAGGATACAATAAAACCAGTGTGTAGGGGCACAGTGTATGCAATGAAAAACCAGAACTTTCGTTTGCTTGTTGACAGAAGCAGGGCATCCTCAAGAATGGCCCAGCATGCTGTTCATCATCCTTGGGCTTGCCATAGCCTTCACCTCTGCCAGCATCCTCCTCGCTGCTCTTGTCTGTCACTGGTGTTCTACCCCAAATCGTAAGTCTGAGGGTGGTGAGCTCAGCATCATCTGACCCAGGGGGAGGTGGGCTCATAGCAGAGAGTGGCGTTTTCTCTTCCCGTAGGTTAAAAACTCATTTCCGGTGTTGTTATCTCTGAGGGAGCATATTCTGGAGACCCATGGAACCCTGTTCTTTTTCTGTAAATATGCGTTGATTCTTCTTGGCTGCATCAGGTCTTTGCAGCAGCATGGGGGATCCTCATTGCACTCTGGGGTGTGGTTCAGGCTCCAGAGCTCGTGCACTCAGCTGTGGCAGCATGTGGGGCTTAGTTTCGTCAAGACATGTGGGATCATAGATCTCCCACCAAGGATAGAACCCAGGCTGCCTGCACTGGAAGATGTACACTTAATCTCTGGACATCAGGGACATTGCAGCCCTGTTCTTCCCTTCAACTACAACCATCTGTTCTTCTCCCCTACATGATCTTGGGAATCTGCTGATGTGCAGAAGAGGATGGTCCATAACAGAAGACATAGGATGGGTCTGTGGTTTGCACAGGTTCCTGAGACAGTCCGTGAATGGCTGGCCTTGTATATGGAATGTTTTGTTTTCATTTAATTTAGTGGAGTAGACAGACTCAGCAACCTGGGGC